AGATTTTACCCTTTTAATACAAAATTAACAAAGCATTAGTGTGTGGCTGCTTCAAAACTGATGTGTGATTATGGTTCTAGATGTTCACCTTAAATGGAGTTTCATCTGTTTGCAGAATGGCCTCAGTGATTTCAAAGATGGGATTTGTCTTCGTGGAGCAGGGCTTCTCCAAAATGTTGATCCTCTGTGTGTCTCAATCAGCATTTGTTGTAGTGGTACTGGATTTTACTACCGGGTATTTGAGCCACCTAAGTGCTTTATGATGAGATCTGACCATGTTGATATCCTTGCCTTAAGCTGTTTAGCCTTTTTCGGCCCAACAAAACATTTGTCCTGCATATCCTGCATAATAAGTTCATGTCCATGTGTGTGATTCAGGAATTCATGTTTACCGTGGTCCAATTATGTTCAGATTTAGTGGAAGCCAAGGTTCATTGTCAGGAAATTTATGTTTAACAGGGTCCACTATTGTCTTACTTTTTATATAGTTGAACAAACTATTGCTGCATACTTGAGCCTCTTGAATAATTATAGCATTATCTTTTTACACCTTTTGAGCAGACTCGTGGCCTAAAGCATGGTAGAGCAATTGTGATCTCCACGTGTGCTGCTGTGGCATCAATTGTGACTGGTGTACTAGCTGGTATGCTTGCATTGGGTGAACGGTTGCCTTCAGCACCAGTTGCTTGTCTTTCACTTCTGCTTGGATGGTATATAGTGCAGAACCTAATTTTTACACTCATATTGTACCAGAATAACATCTTATTCCAAAATTTTGCAATGTGTGGCTTCTCAACATCTTCCATGTGGCCAGTATATGCATGGAAAAACTTATCCGGTAGAGATGATCCAGTTAAACAATCTTGTCTACCACATGTTTTTTAAATTAAAAGAGAAAAAAAAATTGGATGAGACTGTGCCACTTGTTTTTGTTTTTGATTGATAGGTGTAAATAGTTTTTATTTCAAAATCATTTGATCATTTACATATACCCATTTTTTTAAGTGCAATCATTTGTGATTTCATATTTTTGTAGCTCAAATTCAACATTTTTGCCATGAATTGTAGTTTACCTGAATTTTCCCATTACAGGTTATTTATCATGACGGGCGTGATTTTGCTTGTGAGTTCGACAAGACTGATGCGGCATCTTCCATGGCCATTGTGGAATTTGGTACCCGGTGGAATGGACCGGAATTTCAATCCTAGGCGTTCAGGCTCTCATCGAGTCAAGGATTCTAGTCCATGTGCTGTTATCCAGGCAGCGACATTGCATCATCTAATTCCGTTACCAAGTAAGGAGAAGGCATAAATGAAGACAACAAAAGATCACTGCATATGCCTATGTCACAGTTAATCTATGATCAAATTTTAGGTCTTGATGCGCTTAGGATGTACAGAACATTCAATATTGTTTACTTCTTTTTTTTTTTTTGGGGGGGGGGGGGGGGGGGAGGGGGTTGGGGGGATGAGAGTTTTTAAGATCAGTCCTTCGCTGAGCTGTTTTGACATCATAAATTGTGAAATTTGTTAACCAAAACTATTCTAAAATGCCCTTAATACAGTATGCAAGTTAAATCTATTTACGACTTCTTGCAAAAATCATGAAGGCAACCTCGTAAAAAGTTATAGAATTGCCAAGAGGGCATAAACAGATTCAGGGAGCGGTTCTCCCTTCTTCCCTTATCTGTAGCCCTTATCTCATTGTAACCATAGTCGGTTGTTGTGGGGCTCGGTGCTCACTTGATGAATTTTTATGATTAGATGAGTGGAAACAGTAAGCAATCATCACATTTTCTGTTCTTTACTAATTGATAAGCATCAAATTATTCCCCCCTTCCACATACATGTGCACGCGGGAACAGAGCAAGACGAACCTTGTAAGACTTACTGCGTGGAAAGCATATATGCAAACTCAGGCAATCGGTGATTATTCTCTAATTCACCTAGAGAAAATCATGTTTTGTTGACTTGAGTGATAAAGGAAGGCAGCATTTTACCTGTCTAATTCATCATCATACAAGCTTTAGCTTAATCATAAGTTACAAGTGGCTATGTGCTTAGACGTGTAATAAGCTCCATCTTATACACCCCCCCCCGCCCCCAAAAAAAAAAAAACAAAAAAATACGACACAACCTAGAAGGAAAGCGTTTTTTCCCTCTTGATGTATTTCTAAGCATATCATATGCTATTTGCTTGGCACTGGCAAAGGTAATCCTTTACGAATCCATGAATCTCACCCGAGTCAAGAAAGTAACAGGACCAGGAAAATGAGGCTTAAGCATTTTCTTTTGTAATGGCTTGAAGTATGATCTCAAAGGAAGCCCACAATATTTGTTGGAAGTTTACTACTTATCCTTTGTAATCTTGTAAAATTTAATAGAGCAAATGACACAAGTAATTTCATGCTGATTTGCTACTACTACTAGGCATGCAAGAATGAGAAGAAAGGGAAAGTTTTGGAAGTAAAAGTATAATTTTCCTAACTTGAAAAATCTTTTCTACCTTCCATTAAAGAAAGGAATAAATTTATGAAACAATCAACTCAGAAGTCAGAATGAGAGGACATAATAAAAAAGGACAATGTCTGTATAGGAAAACAAGACCTGATTCTCGAGTTGAAAAAGGTGTAAACGAGAGGGTCCCATAGTCCTTTCAGAATGAACAGTGAGGATGAAGGGGACGGCCAGAGGGGACCCCCAGAGTCCGTACATGGCAGAAATAGTGGTGGGATAACTCTGCAATCGCTCATGGTATGTCTGGTAAACAGTTGGTGGCTTTTGGGTTATTGCAGCAAACCATTTAAGATCGGCGAAGGAGAGAAGAGGGACCCCGGGGGCAAGCAACAGCCACCTCCACCTTCACCTCACTCTTGTTTTCTTGACATAACAGGACGCGACACGACACCAAGGTCCACCATGACTTCTACGCGGACCACCACTAGTGAAGTGAATGTTCCACGATGAAAAACAATAACCCTTGAGAAGTGCCATGACTACCAATGGAAATAGGCTGGCCTGTTCATTTTCCTATTTTTGAAATGACAAAACAGCAAACTTTGTACTCTCCGAAAGTAGTGTAGTATAGCCTAATCCTAACAGAAATGAATGAACAAATTAATTATGAAGATGCCCACAGGCATTAGGACCCCTTGGTAGCTTATCCCTTGAAAAGTCCATGTGAAAGGCAGTCGGCATCTTCAAGAAAGGACAAGCTTGCCTAGATAGCTACATATAATGTTTCGAAAAGTGACAGACTAGCCATGGTTCCTAATATTTTGGACAAGGTTTTCTTTTGCTCCATTAAGGAATATCCTAGCTTCCTATACCACAAGTACAAAAGTTCAGATGCTTGTGGAAGCGTGGCTTCATGGCCAAACATCTTTTAGTCATTGCTCATTTCTTTTGCAATGTCCAACTTTTTTAAGGGTTGCAATAGGTTTCCTTTGGGCATTGGGCAGAAAAAGAATTTGGTACGGAAATGACAATAAAAGAATGCTGTGTTTGAAGGCATTTTTTCACTAATTTTGATGGCACCAAGAAATGATCATTCAAAAACTTGTAGAATTATCATTGTCAAAGTTATAAAAAAGCAAGTGCTCCTATTTTAAACCCCACGAAGGCAATGAACCTTGGCAAAATATCACCTTAAATTTAGAAAGTAGCAGTATAAAAGGTGGGAACTGAGGTGGATTGATGCTTGGGCACATCTTCTAGGAATCACTCTCTTTAGAGATTAGACCTCAAGATGAGCCAAGGCCTTGTGGTCCACCGGTCATACTCGCAGCAAAATATTGTTAAGAAGTATGGTCAGCTGTTGTCATCAACAACTTCACCCTATGCCCCATTCCCTTCGGTAAAAATGTAAAGGAGTTTTAACTGTAGTTTCCCTCTCCCTGAAGAAATGCCTTAGAAAGCCGGATTGCCCTTAAAACTATCATCACCGAGATACCCTGGCAGCTGTTTTTAAAGTTAAGCCAGATTTAGTTGCTCGGGATTCTACAACTTTACTTCTAAATTCGTAAGATGTCCCCAACTCATGCACCTTATCCGCCATCGCCACTCCACCGTGGGACCATCTCACTACACCAAGAAGATTCTGCTGTAAACTTTTCGCATTTCAAAGTATTTTTTGTCTTCAATATGTAGGAGCATAAAAACTTATTATGTTGGTTAACAGTAAACAACTTAATATGACTAAAGATCCAGAGCAGCTTGGTTGGCCATAATCAGTGCAGGTATGTCAATGGCAGATGGTGTTGGGAGCCAAGGGAGCTTAACCCCCCAAATTTTTAAAATTCCCTAATTTAAATATTATTAGTATTAATAAATATTTAGCCTTATTTAGTAGGAACCATGAAAAAGCCTAATGGTAAAAAATTTATTAATCAAATTGTTATAACTATTTTCTTTTTTAATTTTGTAACATAATATTAAGGTACAAATTTTCTATTATTACTCCTTTTTATCTTTCCTATCAAATAAAAATTTGCTTTTCTTTTATCAATTACAACTTCTTTTCATATATTTCAATTCTATTTTATATATTTTTGATCGTTTTCAATATATTTTGCTTAATCATTTGGATTACCACTTGACGACCACCTTAACAAAGCTAAAATTATTGTTAAGATTTGTTTTTTAATATATATTCTTGTATTTATGTAAGTAATTTTAAATTTTTTATATTTTATCAAAATTCAAGATAATTTATTTTTAATTTATGACATAGTACTATTTAAATTAATTTGTCTTAACAATTTATGAAAACAAATTACAAAACTTAACACTTGTGGAGAATTTATTACGAAAATTATATTAATAGATTTATAGATTATGAATCCATAAATTTTATAATTTTATGAGATATATATTTTCATTAGTATATTACTTACATATATCTTTTTTATTAATAAATATAATAAAATACTTTAAATAAAAAAATTACAATTTTAATTGGGCCAAAATCAAAATATAAGATATGTCATTGATGACTCTCAAACAGTTAAGATGATTTTAAATAAGATCAAATCCCATTTAATGGTAACAAAAGTACATGGTAAACGACCAACATGTGGCCCATCCAAATAGATTGTCCTGCACAACTCGATGATGAATCAATCAGGAATCAACAGGGGAATCCTACCACAATGCTTCATTGCGCATTTAGTTGCTTGGGATAATCACCAAGTTGCTCCATCTGCCAGCTTTCATGAGGAGCCACTTGTTCATGTGAAGATGTGTATTGCTGGAGAATTTAATAATAAATTTTAGATAATTGTAATCCAAGATACAAGTAGCGGTCATATTGTTGTCTCAAATATCTCCAAAGAGCATTGGAAGTTTAATTATGAAAACCTGATGGCAAGGCACAGAGAAAGCACACACAGACAGGCAAATGGAAAGCAAAACAATCGACAATAAACAGAAGGCTGCCATGCCAGATTTGGAACCTTTCACATTTCACAGATTCAAGTTCGACCATGTATTTCTTGGAAAGTTTTCGACTTTTGAATTGCTTTGATTAGCGGGCTAGCCATTTCTTTAATTATCATCTCTAGCTTCTTTCTTTGTGTCAATATTTTCTCACCCAGATAAATCAGGCCAATTAATTAGCTTACTTTTGACAGCATGGTAAAAGAAATTTCTATTCCATCATAATATTATTTTATGACTGGATGGATTCTTGGGAATTTAATCATTGGCTCGATAAAATTCTCTTTACCATGCTGCCAAAAAAATTTTTTAACGGCGTGATTCAAAAAAAAAAAAAAAATCTGAAGTTCATACCTCCATCTTCTCCAAAAGTTCTTTGGCTGTTGGAGCAGAGACAATTATATGCCTGTCACCTGGCTTGATGAAACCTTCGTCAACGCCATTGTCAAATAAAGCGAGCAAATTATTGTAGTAACCGTCAACATTTAGCAAACCAACCTGCATTACGTGCAATGAGAATAGCAAATATTAGTGAATGTTTACATAGCTAGCTTAATTCTTCAAGCTTGAAGATTGATGCCTCACTGTTTTCTTATGTATTCCAAGTTGGGACCATGTTATCATCTCCAACAACTCTTCCATTGTTCCATATCCACCTAAAGCATCAAATTCTAAGGTTAGAGCTAGTTTTATTATCAAATAACAAGACCAAAATTTTCCTTTTTAATGAAAATGGTCAAGCTATTTTTACCAGGAAGAGCAACAAATGCATCAGCTTCTCGGGCCATTGCAGCTTTGCGCTCATGCATGTCTAAAACAGCTCTCACTTCTCCGACTGTTTCTCCTGATATCTGTCAATATTATCCAGGATTATGCATTAATGGTCGATCAATCCCAGCCTATAGAGATAAATACTTACAATTAAAGAAAGCAACAATTGACATTAATGATATTCCTGCAAATTCTTTTACCAAAATTTGTCCTAATAATAAGAACTCTTGTGCTGATGAGCAACATCAATTATTACTAATGTACCAAATTCAGTGATGTGAATGATGAAACCGTATAAAACCATTAAATGGTGAATGCAGGAAAGCATAAAACCTCAAATTAGGAATTTTCAAAGAAAGACTGATTAAAATTATTAAACAAGACTCTTGGACACAAGATTCAATAAAAATAGTTATACATGGTTGCAAGTAAAGAAACAGATACCTCTAGAGGCATGAGAGCTTTTGGAATTATCCTGCATGTATAGAACAATTATTTACCAAGTAATACACCTAATGTGAACAAGAAGGAAGCTGCTTGCAACTTGTAACAGGTTCTGCAGTGAAAACCTTTAAAAATAGGCTCTTCAATATGCAAGGCAAATTCCTTACTTACCCAAGAACATGACAACCTCCATCATACACTGTCCGGGATATCAAACCCATCAACCCAACACTTCCCCCACCATACACCAAGTCTATCTTCCTCTTCACCTGTAATCAACACCAAGAATGAGCAAAACAGGAGTCCACAAATTATTAGAAAAAGGCAACCAATTTAGACATAGAAGTCAAGCTGAAGAACACTAGAAAAGATCCATTTGGGCAAATAACTTGCTTGCATCAAACCCCAAAATTTTAACTCATGGATATCACTCACGTATAGTCAAAAAGAGCAACACCCTGTCAGCAGAAGCTACCTTGATGGTCAACAGTGCCATGACAGCAAACAGAGCAACCCCAATTCAGTACATGAAACACCAAATGTACAACTCCACCGTCATAGAATAAAAAAAACAGCAAAAATCTCATCTTTCTCACTAGAAGCTAACACCCAATAATCTAAAACACAGTTTTCAAAAAAGACAAACACTCACTTACCACCACCTCAAAACAAGTATTAAACCATTAAAAAATTCATCTTTGGAGACCAATAACACAAACTTTTTTCAAACTAACGTGTATAGAGATAGAGTTAAAGCAAAAAAAGCAAACCAGTTCATTGCCCAATTCAAGAGCAGCATCGCTGAAGACTTTTCTATGGCCAGAATTGCTTCCACAGAAAACACACACCTTTTTGAACTTGCTTCTGGCTTTCTCGTCTTCCATTAACAATCTATCCCTCTACCCTCAGTTTTTGTTTTTATTCCAATCTCAAATCATTGAGTTTAACTGAAGAAAACAAAAAGCAATAGCCTTTCCCTTTGAAGAGATAAAATTGTCCCCCTGACAATAAAAACTTTCTGAAAAGAAAGAAAAGAACCAATCAAATAATAAGGAACACCAAAAACCACTTCTTTTGAAAGCAAAGCAATCTGGGTTGATCTTGAATTGGTAATAAATAAGAAAAAAATGCAAATTAAAAATGAAGGAAATCAAAGAGGGCCTTTTTATATTAGAGGAGAAGAGAACATGTGGAAGACCACATGCTCCATCCCCTTTCTAATCCAACGTTTCTCTGTCGGCTTCAACCCTTCATTATGGGATTTATCTATTATGATTAAATTAATTAATATATTAATTGTACAATTTTTACTTACTAATTATTGTTTGTTTTTTCATAGTCAAAGGGCAAATTCAAATCAGAATTTTTTTTCATAAAAGCTAGCAAGAGAACTTAAAAAAAGGTGAGAATTAATAATGGAGTGATGGCTAAGTTGTTGCTTTCACTAATTATTAAAAAAAGTAAATGACATATCAATTTTTTTCTTATTTTCTTTGTAAATTATAATATAAGCCAAAATATTAAAATTTATTATAAAGTTTTCAAAACATGATTTGGTAATAAATATATGTATCTTAATTATCAAATTAAATTTAAATCTATCTTAAGAAAAATTATAAAGTTTGAATCTATCTGATTCATTAAAAAAATAACATATTTTTTAATAAAATTCAGATACATAATATATGTGCTATGGCAAGGAAAAAACAAAAAAGAAATCCCATTATAATTGGATAAGATGGTTTATAAAGTTACATGTGACACGTAGTGTACCCATGACCATTAAAATTAAAAAAAAAAGTTAGCAGAATTATTTGACTTTTAGTTCAAGTTAAACTCTAATTACTTATAATGATAATAGTGTAATTTAAATATATACTTTATTTTATGAACATTTGCTTTGTTTATTTTAGCATAAAATCACATAAATGTTATTTTTCTTATTTTATTATTTATTTAGTTAAAAAAAATTTAAGTGTGTAAATTTCTTCAAGTTCATAACTTTTATATGCTAACTCTAATTACATGCAAAGATTCAAGAGATAATTAATATAAGGTAAATTAATGTTTAAATGTGAAAATAGTAGAATTTTTGTTTTTTGAAATGGCAAAATACTAGATTTAAGTAAAAAGAAATTCGATCTTCATGTTGGGCCAAGGCCCTTGCCCCTTATTAAAGGGCTTAGGAAGCACACCTAGGTAGATAGGTCCATTTTTAGGTCATGACAGTGAACATTAATCAAGGTAGTAAATGCCAAATTTAAACTCAAGTTGACAAGGAAAGTAACTACCGTAACTGCCAATGAGATGCTTTGCCAAAAATGGAACCTTTGAAAATCAAGTTAAGCGACTTGCAACTCTGCCTCCTCACCTCTGTTTTCCTTACCTTCCACTCCTTAATTCAAGCAATTTTTTTTTTTACTTTGACAGAAAATTACACCAAAACAAAGCCAAACACAAACACATCCAGTTCATTGTTCCCACAATTTCTTTTCCAGGGAAATCTAAAATAACCTTGTAACACATGTTTTTAACATCAAACACCCAACAAGAAAAAAAAATTGGTGAAAAACCAACCAAAGAGTAATTATCTAACCTTTCAAACTTCCCTTTTCTTTATGTTTGAACTATGGCAAGGATGATTCCATTAGATGGTGATTCTATAATACATACGGCATTGCCATTTTCTCTCCTGGTGGCTGGCATGGCTGCAATCATTGCTATAGTCACTGGTCTATGCGGGTTTCGGAGAAAACCATCATCAGATTTATCAGCCCCTGATTTGGCAGAGAAGTCAGATTTAGATATTCCACCATCCAATGCAGCAATTGCAGAAGCAAAACTAACAATGATACCCCCCCAGCCAGCCACCACATCTACAGCATTAGAAACAGAGGAAGAAACAGAGAACTCGGATCAAATAATCAAAGAATTGCCTCTTCCACCAGGTATGAGGACATTAAAAGAGACCCATTCTTGCAACAATTTCATGACAAAAATCCGCATCCAGCGAAAACTAAGCTCAACCTTGAGTGTGATGCACGTAAGAAGCATTTCGGTGAGCAAGATTCGAGAGAAAAGGAGATCCAAAGCTGAGGATTCGGTTTGGACAAAAACAATTCTATTAGGGGAAAAATGTAAAATATCAGATGACGATGATGATGCTGTTATCTATAATGGCAAGCATAAAACAGTTTCAGCATACCACCCCAGGATCCAGAGCACCGCATCCATTTCTATAACGAATTCCTTCAGAAATCCAGACACGATTCTAGATAAAGACAAGGAGAAAGAGGCAACAAGAGAAGAGAAAGAAGATTCTTGATGTTTATAGATAATCTATTTTAAAAGGTAGTAGGTAGATTCATCTTTTATGAAAGAATGCAGCTGTTTTCACGACCAAATGCAAATTAAACATAATTGATTAATTTTCTACTAAAAGTATTACTACAAATTTACTTTTCTAGCCAACTAGCTTGCCTGAATTACAAGTTATATGACCTACCTTTTCTTCATTTTTCTTGAAAGATGGTATGAGGATATATAATAGAAAGCTTAATACTTGATATATAGAAACTTTTCACAGCCAGTAATTTAGGCAGAAGGCTCATATCAGAAGCAGAAATGTGCTGGTAATAGCGTTAAGTTGAAACTTCCGTCGAAAGATCAGTCAAGACAATCTTTGTCCTTGACAGGTTTTCCATGTTCTTGAATTTTGAGGTTATATTGGATGATGGGAGGGTTAAATTTAAGGTTGTTTCTGCGATGACTATGGCTGCTTTAAGACAGCTGCTTACCTTGAAACGTTGAACAAGACAAACTTGATTGCGACAGAATTTAATGTTCCGAAAACTTGATAGGTAAGGTAACCAAGACCAAAGTATATACATTGCATCGTCTAGGAAATTGCTGAGACCATCAATCAAATTCAAAAGGGCAAGTTGTATCACAACCAAAACAACTTTGACTAAAGTACTAGGAAATTCATCAAAACTCATAAACAATGAAATGAATCATTTTTGGCCAGCAAACAGCTAGCTTACGCTTATTGCCGGCTTTCCTTTTCAATGAAATATTTCTGCAAACTGGTTTTAGACTGGGTAAACGTCAACGAGGAAAACTTGAGTCGGTAGCCTAACTTTTAGGAGGAAAATGTTACATTCTCTCCAGTGCATACTCCCCATGGAAACTTCATACGACTTTGATAAATGGCTGATATTGAGGTAGAACTGTTTAATGGGAATATTATATAATTTTAAAAATAAATACAATGACGATTTTCTTTACACGAAATTATTGTCTATTATCATTCTTTTGTAAAATTAGCAGCTTCATGTAAAAAAATATGTAACATGAATACTATCTGTATAACAAAAAAACACTGATTTCTCACCATGATATTGCTCACAATTATAAAAGAAAATGTGCGTTGTGCATATTATAAATGGGCTTTATATTATGTAGAAAAAGTATTAAGCGGCACTAATAAAAAATTTTTTTACTAATCATATCAGAGTGAAAATAAAAAATTGAATAACGAATGTTAATTTTTTTAAATGTTAATTTTAAAAATAATTATATAAATCAATTAAATTAAATTATAAATTTTACCTTAACAAATATTTAAAAAATTAAATATTATATATATTGATAAAAAAATTTTTTTTTTTTTTTATAAATTATGTTATGAATTTTACAAATAAAAACAAACCATATCGTATCCTCAAGATTTTCATTTCCACTCAAACACTAAAAAAAAAGAAAAAAAATGAATAAAGACGTTACCTAGGGGCTAGGATGTTAAGAACATCCAATCCATCAAACGTTCAAAAAAGGTCCATCATCGTCCATCCAAATGAGTGATCTACTACCCTAATCTCTAGGAAGTTGCGTGCGCCATAAGTTACCGTACAGTAGTGTATCGAACGCCAGTTACGTTTGAAGCTCCACCGACTTTAGTGCACCATTGTCAGACCATAAGACTTCTCCCTTCAAATTTGCAACAAAAAACGCCGCCTTTGAAGCAAAAAACAACCACAAATACAGGCTGGCTTTTGAAAAGGAAAGGGGAAGAAAAACCAATAAGGAATCCCTCTCCTCCTTTCTGGGAGAACAGGTATTTTCGATTCTGGTTTTTACCCAATATTTACATGCCTGTTCTCCTTTGATTTAACCCCCTTTTTCTCTTTTCTGGTACGCTTTCTAAACCCTCTTGGATTAATCTCGCATGGGTATTGAATGATTTGAACTTGGAATCAGCGGAAACTCTTTGAATTGATTGGTTTTTGGAGTTGTTGAGGGTTATGTTATTTATGCTTGAAAGTGGTCGCTTTGGGTGCTTTAAAGGAGACTTTTTGCTGAATCTAGGTTGAGGGTATCGAAGCTTTTTATGATATAGATCCCATGGGAGCAATGTTATAACTGAAAGGATCGATTTAGGGTTTGGCAATCTGTGTGATCTGTTTTTCTTTCTATTCTTGGATGTATCTTGTTGTTATTGAAGAAAAGGATCGGTTTGTGAACTTGCCCGGCTCTCATCTGGATGTTCTCAGGCCATTGAATCTACCCTTTGAACAGAAATCGTTTTCTTTTTGTATCCCAAGAGATAGATGGGATAAAGAGTTCTTCAAGCTTCAGGGCGGGTAATTATAATTTTACAGATTTGTTGAATTGAGGAAGATTTTGGTAATATAATTGGTTTGAGTTGGATATTTTAAGATGGGTTCTCCTCAAGGCTCCACATTGACAACAAATATGGCCGGGCTTGTTGATGGTTCAACTGCACGCAAAGAGGTTTCCCATATTGATTGTTTGCCTGTTTATGTCAAAGAGCTAATAGCTGGTGGCGCTGCTGGAGCGTTTGCTAAAACTACTGTTGCACCTTTAGAACGGATTAAAATACTCTTGCAGGTCAGCTACTGATTTATCTATGTTGCTTTTTTTAGATTTTAGCAACATTCATAAATACAAAGCGAAAAACGGTGTTTGTTATTATAGCATTTGTGATGCTGAGCGCAATTATATGTTTAGTTCGTCTTTGGGTTTTGTAAAGATGTTACTACATTTACAGTAGTTCTGTTACAATCAAGTGATTTTCCTGCAAAAGTAGTTTAAGTAACAACGGTTTTTAAGGGTTAGTTATATTATATGTTACTGTGGTGCTTGCTGGATGTTTGTCAAGTTACGAATTTGTTGCTTACTTTGTTTTTCAACCCCCCCCCCCCCCCAATATTTTCTGCATCATGCATGTTATTAGTAATAGCTTTCATATGATTCTCTCTCTCCTTCTCTATTCTACAGACAAGGACTAATGGTTTCCAGTCTCTTGGGGTGTATCAATCCTTAAGGAAGTTACTAAAGCATGAAGGTGTTATTGGATTTTATAAGTAAGTTTACAGATTATTTTACCATTTTCCTGTATCTCTGCCCTCTCATAAAAGTTAGACTAATTCATGCCTATTCTTACCCGCAGAGGAAATGGAGCCAGTGTTATTCGGATCATTCCTTATGCAGCCTTACATTTTATGACTTATGAGCAGTATCGAGGTTGGATCTTAGATAACTATTCTTTCTTTGGATCAGGACCTGTTATAGATCTTTTAGCTGGCTCTGCTTCTGGAGGAACAGCAGTGTTATGCACTTATCCCTTGGACTTGGCTCGCACTAAACTTGCCTATCAGGTAAGAAGTTTCTCATAGCATAGTTTCTCATAGATATTTTTGAATCCTTTTCTACTGTTCAAGTGAGGTTGATCTAGCGTGCTGGTATTTATAATAAATTAATTCTGTCATCTTGTTATACTAGTTTAATCAAATCTATTATTACTATCATGTAATTGCTGAATGCTGATTCTGGTTGTGGATTTGAATTACTAAAGCACTCATGGCATTAATTCCTTATGGAAGATGTTTTTAAGTAGACCTGTAACAGTAAAGAATTGATGCTTTTTGAACAAGTACACCCATTCCTTGGATGAATGTAACTTCTTATCAAGTGCTTCTTGGATAAATTGGATTACTAAAGGAAATGAATGTTTTTTACTCTACTTTATCTTTCTAATTTAACTTTTATGGTTCAATAGGTTGTGGACACCAGAACAAATTTCAGGAGTGGTATAAGAGGTTTATATCCTCAACCTGCATATAGTGGCATAACAAATGTACTGACAACTGTTTACAAGGAAGGGGGAATACGTGGATTATATCGAGGTGTAGGTATGTAGGCGGTTGTTTTTAATGCTTCATATTACAGATTAAGAATGAATAGTTTTAACAGTGGCTCCTAGTTCTGTGCATTATTGTTATAACTGGCACGATCATTCTTGTTGTCCTGTTTAAAGTATCTTCGGTCTTTCATGACAATAGAGATTCATTATTTTAACATGCAATCTTGAATTTTTTTTTTTTTTTTGGTGTTGCTTCATTTGGCATCTTACTTTCTTTGCTAGTTGTGCTTGGACTTGATGAAATTTTTGTTTTCATAGGTCCGACACTCGCTGGGATCCTCCCTTATGCTGGTTTAAAGTTCTATGTTTATGAGGTACTAAAGACGCATGTTCCTGAGGAGCATCAAAAGTCCATTGTGATGCATCTTTCTTGTGGTGCTCTGGCTGGGTTACTTGGGCAGACCTTCACATACCCATTAGATGTTGTAAGGAGACAGATGCAGGTATTGTGTAATTGCTGTACACTTCTAAGCGGCTGTAATTATTATTCTTTATTTTGTTGGGAATTGGCATTATGTTGTCTCTTTCATGTGTTATTATTAGAATGGAAACCTTTGGGGAATGTTTTAAATGTTGTGAGGTACACATGAACTATAGTTAAGTGCTAGATATATATATAAACCAACCTGGTTAAATAAACTGGTTTGGAAGTTCAACCTGATATACTAGCTAGTGTGTTTTCTTGGTGATGTCAATTAACCATGATCGAATGTAACAAGTCATTAGTGTCTCTCGGCTTTCCTATTGGCACCTAGCTTGTGATTGACACTGCTGGAAAGAAATTTTTGAATGTTACCCTGCAGGTTGAAAGTCTTCAGCCTTCAACAATTCAAGGTAATACAAGATATAGAAACACATGGGAAGGGCTCACTACTATTGTCCGTAATCAAGGATGGAGACAATTGTTTGCAGGCTTGAGCATTAATTATATTAAGGTAGTCTATAAACTCAGAAACACTATTGCAGATTTTTAAATTTGTTACCCTTACCCCTTTCTCTCCCAACTTTTGAGAAACAATAAACATCAGTACTTGTAAGAAAGAGATGGAAAGTTTTTTATAGTCAAGTGTGAGCTTTGTTATATAATTTCCAATTTTTATTTTACTTGGCTTTGTGATGGTTTTCATTCTAATGAAGTCTGTTGCAATTTGCTTGTCAGATTGTTCCTTCTGTGGCAGTTGGATTCACGGCATATGACATGATGAAGGTTTGGCTTCACATACCACCCCGAATGAAATCACAGGCAATATCTTCTGGATAAATGGAGACGGATTTACAATGGGGGCAACCAAAATCGAAAATGCTTCTGGATAGAAGAACTATATTTTAGCACCCAAAAATAAGATGCTTGTGCTTAATCTTTTGATTTTCGGACTATTATATCAGAAAATAAAAATGAGATGCAAAAGTGAAATGGAGTGTGTTAATACTAGAACTGATCTCAAGATGCTTGTGCTTTGTATACTTTTTATGTACTATTACTGAGCGAGGCATATAAAATATCTTATCTTGTTTCACTTTTTGAGAAAATTATCAGACATGGCTTTCAATGATTAAGATGGCTTAACAAAAAAATTGGGGTATGGTTTTGTAACTCGAAGACATTTAGATACCATTCATTTATTGATATCTTTTGCATGATAATGGTAGTTGCCCATGGATTTACATGGCACTGAAAGAAAGCTACTTAATGCCCAATAGTTAGATGGACCAGAGTGAAGGGACCATTGTTCGGGACTGAAAAAAATGTACATTGTATTTTGTATATATGTAGGTAAGACATTGGATGGAACATAGGTTATATATATATCACAAGTGGATGACTACCTGAAATGTAGGTTATTTAAAGGTCAAGTTGGATTGGAAATGTCACGTCCTTCATTATTGCAGAAATTTTCAAGCCAATTGAATTATATGAGAAACCCATAAGACCAATCCTCTAAAGACGTGGTACTAATTGTTTAAGTTTTCAACAATGAATGTTATGTATGTTAACAAACCTCAGCAATAAAGTTAACGAGTGCATGCATGTATCATTTCTTAACATATATGCTAGTAAACTATCACTTAATCTTGAGCTACTTGGCTAAAAAAAGGGTTTTATTCGGTTCTATTTGAGTAAAATCAAACAAGTAGTGGTTACTCTATTATAACCTTTGACATCATTGAACCAAAAAGAAAAATTCAAAGGGTATATTGACTTTTCTTCTTTTGAAAACAAGAACATGAAATCTGGAAGTCAACTAAATGTCAAATTCAAATAGTTGAACATTTCAAAATTATCTTTTCCAGGAAAAAAAAAAGTCAGAATCCATCAAACTACAATTTTGAGTAATGATATTTGAAAATACCTGCATTAATTTTTTTAAAAAAATAAAATATATATTATCTCCCTCTTACACTAAAATGAAATGACATTGGGTGCTTAGCTGTCGTTCTACAGTAATCTGAACACCGTTGATTTGAGTCAATAGAAAAAAAAAAAAAGTTAGAATCACAAAATCATGGAAAGGTCAATGGCTTATCACAACTTGAAGAGGTTGAAGATTTCGTTTCCGAGTATGGCTGAAAATGAAGTTCCACTGACAACAGTACAAAATATTGCAATTATAGAGCCCCCACCACTCACCATTTCTTACAGTTTCTACGACCATGTAGAAAGGAAAAAAAAAATCAGTAGTAATAGTAAAATAAGTAACGTCTTAGCTTATAGCCTCATACTTCCTATAATTTTGTTATTATCCTCTCTTTTCTTCCATTTATAACATGTTTTCTTTAACTGGCGCTTCTTCTATCTTTCTTATAAACTTCTTTGAAGGTCTCCTGAACCCCGCCATATTCACTTTTTTCCTTCCCAGTCCCAGCTCAGCTCTTTCAGTGAAATTGGGTAACTAGCTTTATCCATGACTCGCCAACTTTGAATTGTTTTAAGATTGTCCTGTCCATAGTATTAATTTTCCACAAAGAGCAGTAGCTTTGATAGTTCAAATGCCACCCAATTGCCTATATATAAGCTGTCTTACCTAGTTAACAAGTTGCATGCTTTGCAGTTGGACTTGGACTCAATTGTCTTCTCTTTGGAAAAGGTTAGAGAAAAAAGTTTTCTGGTTTTTGGACTGCTTTTTTTTTCTTGATCTGTAGGTGAGGTTGTTAATTTCATTTATTTGGTTTTGATTTTTCTCTCTAATTCTTCTTTCTCTGAAGTCTAATTCTTGCTTTTTTTGTTACTTTGGAAAATTTCTATGTGGTTCCCTTCCGAATGAGTCAAGGGGACTAATGGGTATTGCTTTCTTTAAATCTAATGATTATGTTTGATAGTTCTGATTTCACAGGTTTGAGTCTATAAGAGGTTTTAAAGCAATGGGTCTTTCCCTGTCTTTGCTTTTATCAGCATGGAAGGAAATCCTGAAACACCAGGTTTTTGGTTATGCCGACACAGAAAAGGTTATTGTGAGGTCCATAAGCCTTGGAAGAGAAGATATAAAGGTGACCCTAAAAGCAAAGAGTTTCAATAAGGATGATTCAGAGTCTCCAATTAACAAGTTCGATAGTTTGAGTAATGGTGGTGATTTCAAAGAACCAAAGCTTGAAACATCCGATTCATTCAAACAAATAGCTTTTGATCAAGGGAATGGAAATTCAGTTCTTTCAAATGATAAAGCGAATAGAATTGTCACACGAACAAAACCCACCATAAAGCTGCCTGAACCAGCGGTACTATTTTCTCCGAGGCTAGTAACTGAGCTTGATGCTGCTGCAACTAAGCTTCAAAAAGTCTACAAAGGTCATAGGACAAGGAGGAACCTGGCAGATTGTGCAGTTGTGGTTGAGGAGCTCTGGTTTGTCTCCATATAATCTCAATTTCTATTGCTGTTTCTCAGTGTTTCCGATTTTGAGTAATTTGTTTGTTTCTTACATTCATTCAACATTGTAGGTGGAAGACCTTAGATTCTGCAGCACTAAGAAGGTGTTCTATTTCGTTCTATGACATTGAGAAACAAGAAACCGTTACATCAAAGTGGGCACGGGCTAAAACAAGGGCTGCCAAGGTACTTTATTAAGCTGTCACAAGTCCTTAAAATGTGGTTTGCTACTTGGCAAAATTGCTTGAAGACTGACAAGAGAATCCTTTTGAGTTTGTAGGTTGGTAAGGGTTTGTCTAAGGATGAGAATGCCCAAAAACTAGCCCTTCAACATTGGCTTGAAGCTGTAAGCCGATATTATCCTTCTTGCATTAGAATTATCCCTGTTGATTTGTACTACAGTAGACTAGGTTTGCTTACAAGTAGTTTGCTTTGCTAATTCAAGTTTTATGGAAGAACTGAAAACTTGGAACCATCAATTTTCTTTCAAAATTGGCTTTCCATCCTTCAAAAAGTAGATATTGATATCCTCTGGTTTGGTTTAGAACAATTGAACATAATATCAAGATTATGGTAAACCATATGATTGTATTACAGAATTCCATTTTGAAAACAAAAATTGGTGACTTTTATCAAAATTTGATGATTTGATAGGACGCATAGGGTCTTCATATGTAACAGACACCAAATTCACATTGGCTGGATTGATATCCTTCAAATACAATATTGCTATTTTTAGGACAAATCAGGGAAATATCCATGAATAACTGTTCTTTTTATATTTCTGCAGATTGATCCACGCCATCGTTATGGGCACAATTTACACTTCTACTATGATGTCTGGTCTGCAAGCAAGAGCACACAACCTTTCTTCTACTGGTAATGTATTTCATTAAACCGACCTGAAAGTTACAAAAGAAAAGGTTACTCCGTTATACCCTTATATTCGGATTTCTGAAATTCATTTTCTATTCTGAAATTGAAGGTTGGATATTGGCGATGGCAAAGAAGTAAATCTTAAAAAGTGTCAAAGAATAGATCTACAACAGCAATGCATTAAATATCTTGGACCAGTGAGTCTTATTACTTCTATCCCATGTTAATTGCACCAATTCTGTCTAAAATGTTTTGTACATTTCTTAACCATATCTGTTTTATTGCCTGCAGAAAAAAAGGGAAGCATTTGAAGTGATTGTGGAAAGTGGAAAGCTTGTTTACAAGCAATCAGGAATGCTTGTTAACACCCTTGAGGGTTCTAAGTGGATTTTTGTACTTAGCATCCTTGTATGTTGGGCAAAAGAAGAAAGGTGTTTTTCAGCACTCAAGCTTCCTTTCCGGAGGAGCTACAACAGCTGCTGGAAGATTGGTGGCTTCTCAAGGAGTTCTTGAGGTACATATGTTGTGCAAACACTAATACACGAATTATTTTTCTCTCGGATTTTGTTTGATGCTAAATGATTCTCTTCTTGTCCAGGCTATTTGGCCTTACAGTGGTCATTACCTCCCAACTGAAGACAATTTCAAGGGAATTCCATTATTTCCTTGAGGAACACAATGTGGATTTGACCAACGTTAAGGTAATAATAAATTCTAAGTTCATGAAACTTTCTTTTCTCCACCTTAGCATGTGATTAGCTAAAATAGGCATTAGACTTTAATTAATTCTCATAGATAGCCCACCAAAATTGCTCATTTATTGTGCAGAGATGTGCAATAGATGATGACTACACGTCATACAAAAGTGCTAATGATGAATCCAAGCATGGGAGGTCAAAGATCCAACGGCAACAACAAAATCAACAGATTCAATGGCTGTGGATGTTGATGGGCCCACAAATGGTGCGTGCATGATAATTGAAAGTCTACAAAGTAGCATGGTACCAGTGCAGCCAATGTGGAGCACCAGCATTCAACAAGGCCCAAGCGTTTTGTCTTGAAGTGGACAAGTGGGGTGGTCCTCGCATTGGGTTGTATCAGAGCTACCCAACAGAACTGCAATCCCAGGCTTTGGAACAAGTTAACCTATCTCCCAGAGTCACGCCTGGTCGCTTTGGAAAACTCTGGTCCCATTACCTTCACCAAGACCAAGCCCCAAAATCCGAGTCTCACCCAGGCTTGCATACATGGGACTCCCTAGCCCGAGAGTGTCAGTGGTTGCTAATAAAACTTTTTGAGCATTCAACAAATTGATAAATGACCAAGGTTGAGCACTTCTTGTTGCCCACAATTTTGCAGCAACGGTAGTAATAAAAATGTAAAATAGGTGAAGTGATCTGACCAAACATTCTTTGTTCTTTGATTTGTTTTTAGGCTTAGGGATAACCCCTTCTGTCATGTGGAGTTTGATTTGCTTTTGGTCCAATTCTTTATTTAAGTTGTAATAAGTAGTGGTAGTTTTTTTTGAAATAATGAACAGTTTATGAAAGATGCAAGGGATTGCTTTCCAATCCCAACTGTTTTTATTTGGCTGGTTGGAAGGGGGTGCGGGGGTGAAGACCACGGACGACAGACAAGCGTGAACATTCATGGAACTATAAGCTTGACTATTGACTATTGCCCTTGTCTATTAAGATGAAACAACAATATTACCACTAGGATTTCTTCAAAACCTCCCCCATATTCGGCAAGTTACTCGATCGTCTTCAAATCCAAGTTCTGAATTTCGATTTGATGAGAGCTCTGCTTCATCTTCAATATGCACCTCTGCCACAC